ATATATATATATGAATTGAGTTCCACCTATGTGGAAACATACTATGTATATTAAAAGTATGCAGCCAGGCATGGTAGCCCATGCCTATAATCCTAGAACCCAGGAGGTTGAGGCAGGAGGATCACCGTGAGTTCGAGGCCAGCATGGACTACATAGTGAGTGCAAGACCTGCCTGAACTACACAGTGAAACTGTCTCAAGAAAGAAAAAGTAAATAAATAAATAAAATTTAAAAAGCCAGGCACCATGGTACATGCCTATACTCCCAACATTCAGGAGGCTGAGGCAGAAGGATCACTGTGAGTTCAAGGCCAGCTGGGCTCCATAGTGGGTTCAAGGTCAGGCTGAACTACATAGTGAGACCCTATCTCCAAACAAAAAGAAAAAAAGTATGCAATATGCCTGACAGTTTAAGGCTTGCCTCAACAGCTATCTAAAAAATTCATATCCAGAATATTGACACTGCTTCCCAATTAAGATTGAAAAGACTTACAGAAAGTTCTCTATCAAATATACAGTTTGAACCACGAAATTTAAGACTAAAAAAACTAACTGCTGCAAGGAGCACAATTCTGGGGGAAAGCTTTATATGCAAAGGAGGTCTCTCAAAGACACAAAGATCCTGAATAGATGCACACAAACAGCAAAACATACACTCAACATCAAGACTGAACATGGGCTGGCCTAAAGCCAGATGCTTCCTTGAGATTCTATTACCAGAGTGTTCTACACACTGCTTAAAATAACACAAACCAAAAAAAAAAAAAGCAAAACCAGAAACCAGGGTTCAATCTCTAGCTGTATTCATTAGCTGTGTGGCCTTTTATGCAAGTTAATAAAATTCTTTTAGCCTTAGGCTGCAGTAGCCCTCATCTTAATCTTCATCAAAATATCAATGATGTGGTATTAAATTATTCTACATCTTTTATTACTTTTAAATAGTTTAACACATATTTTAAAGACAATAGCCTGTAAAGCCTTAAATTATCTGCCCCTTACAAACTTTTCACCCCAAGACATTTCCACTTGTTCCTTCTTCCAAGACGAGCTTCCCTCTGGGAACGACATTCCTTAATTGGCTTTTTGTTTCTATTTACACATTTTCAGTTAGATTTCCACTACTATAATCTTTATCCCCCAAACCATATTTCTCCTTACCCGACTTCTTTCTCTCCTTATTATGTATCATTTTCTAATAGACAATATAGCTACTTAGTATGTTTATTGTCTGCCTCCTTTAAATAAAGGGGGGGATCCAAGAGAACAAGTATTTCTGTCTGTTTTATTTAGGGCTGTGTCACCAGCCTCTTGAATGGCACCTGGCACACAGTAGATGGTTCAATAAATATCTGTGTGAATATTAAATGAGAGCTCATTACAGCCCACAGGCAGTACACCACAGCTCCACAAGCTGCCGTTCGTGGGTGGGGGTAATCACACTTCAACAACACTGTAAAGAGAACTACAGCCTGGCCAGGACTAATAAACAACAGGGTCTGCTTTTCCAAAGAAAAATACACTTGACCTTCTACCTCAAGAAGGAAAGAAGTTATAGGTATTTGGATGGTAGAAATTTATATGAAGTAAAAGGTCTCACTTTAGTTAACAATATAAAAAGCTTTCTCTTACTATTAATATTCAACCATCTTGTATTACTATACCACCTTGTTTTTATCTCTAGCTTTAATTTCTATAAAGCTAACCTTTTTTTTTTAAATAAAGCTAATCTGGAGGGATTGAAAGTGGAGCTCAGGTGCAGAGGGTGGACTTAGCATAAGCAAGGTCCTGGGTTTGATCCCCAAGACTAACAAAAAAAAAGCTTTATGGTTCTCATATTTTTAATTATCTAAATAAACATTTATTGAGCATATGAAAGTATGCAAAATTCTGCAGAAAATCCCATAACATGAAGTACAAGTCTCCATACTACTGATATATATCCTAGAAAGACCAAAAGTTCATCTGTAAATAATCATGAACACAGCCAATATGAGACAAATTCAAAAATGCCTACTTTTGTGTGGGATGAAGAGGATCAATCCCAACAGACAATACTTAAAAAGCAAGAGCCAGGTTGCTGGGTATAGCTCAATGGTAGACTGCATTTGAGAAGCCCAGGGTTCTATCTCCAGCATCATGAAGAAATAAAAACAAAAATTAAAGCCAAACATTACTGAGTTAGTTCTCATGCATCTTGGGTCACACAGTACATGAAAGACTCAATGTTAGACACTGGGTTAAAGGCCAAGAGAAGGATGGCAGGTCCAAGGCTAGCCCTGGCAATGCAGCAAGACCTTGTCTCAAAAATTTTTTTAAAGGGCTGGGGATTTAGCTCAGTGGTGCCGCCGCCTGCCTTGCAAGCACAAGGACCTGATTTCGATTCCCAGTACCACAAAAAAAAAAAAAAAATTTAAATCACTTCCCAGCCTTTTGGTTAAAGTCAAATGTAAAATTAAAAAAAAGTTAAAATGTTCAAATGAGAACAAGGCAAGGGGAGAGGGGGAAGGAAGGAACGGACAAGGAAAAAAACAGAAGGAAAAATGGAAACAGCTTTTGTAAGGACAGGAAGGGGGCTTAAAGGGAGGGGAGGAGAATGGAAAAAAAGTAGCAAGATATATCACATACAGGTATAAATTCCTCATGGTGAATGTTACTATGGACATCTAAAATTTACCAATTTAAAAAATAAATACATAAAGATAAGGGCTGGGGATGTAGCTCAGTGCAAGGGCCCTGGGTTCAATTCTAAACTCCTTGAGGACTGAAACCAGACTGGCTTATGTTGTGTTCAAGCAGTGCTGAAAGAGTAGGGAAGGAAACAATTCTGATCTTCAGACACACAAGTATGCAGAGTTCCACCCAGTTTGCTTTTACAGTTTTGAAGCAGGCCTGGTGAGAAGCCTAAGCTTACTACTTGCCTGCTTTCTCTGAACTTCAAAATGTGGGTACAAGCCCTTGGCCAAGATAGCACTCACTTCATTTGCTTTAATCAAGGCTGGCTTTGCTCCCTGATGGAGTTTCACACTGGTGAAGTAACTATGAACTCTGGAGTCAGAAGACCTGAGGACAAATCCTGCCAACATCACTTATTAACTGTGCGGCTCTCAAGTTCTTTGACCTTTCTATGCCCTCTCTGTAAAATGGGGATGACAACAACCTTGATTCAAAGAGATAAAACACATGTATGCAAGGCTTACCTAGAGCCTGACCACAAAAACCCTCAATAAATGTTAATTGTTATTATTTCCAGACCTAGGGGAAACGCCCTGCAAGGCTGAAGAACATCTCCAGCAAAAAGGTAATCATTAAATTAGAAAGTCAAACGTTGCTCTCCTGACTCGTGAACACTATCGGCAATAGTACTAATAATAAAAATCTCGGGATCATCACCATAAAAACAGCAGCAGACACAGCAAGAATACTTACAGCGCTCCAGCCAGCCAGTCCTAACCTAAAAGAGGAAGAAGGCAAGGCTGCTGAATCACACACACACAAAGAAAAAAAATATTACAGGATCTTCTCCACCCTCCTTTTTAAAAACAGTAATTGGCGCCCAAGTTTTGCTAAAAACAGGTATCTCCACCGAAAGCAGACTTAACGTGTAATTTCTTCATACCAAAGAGGTGGGGCTGGGAAGAAGGGAGGAGGGGTGGTGCTCGGTTCCGGCCAGAAGGAAAAGCCACATGAAGTGGAGAGACAGCGGATTCAGGGTTCACCACCCCCATCCAAATCAGATTTTTGCAGTACAGGCGCTCCAAATTCGGGAAAATCAAAAGGCTCTGCTTTTCCAATAAGCTCTGAACAAGTGTCATCTGTCTCCCGAGCCAATCCCCAGCCGCAGAAGCAGGTTCGAGTTACCCGGCGGAGGTGATTTCAGAGATCCGGTCCCCTCTCGCCTTCCACCTTCACCGAGAATCACAGCCCCGCTTGGGAGGAAAACAAAAGCCCGGGCCGGTCGGGCTTCATTCCGGCTCCAGAGCACCGGCGCCAGGGCCCGAGGCAGGATCGGGGGCGAGCGGCGGCGCCCGGGGCAA